TAACCAAACAAAAGAAAGTTTGAAACATTTTGAAAGGATGTAAACATTGATTACTTTACTTCAAGACCGGTTCTAGGCAGAGCCAGATTAAACATTCGTTTTGGCCCCCCGATTTAAAACGTTATTATACATAAATCGAAATATTTTTTTATTAAGATTAACATAAATATATTTAAGTATGTACTTAGTTGAATATGTTCACTTACAAGTATATATATTTAAGTATGTACTTAGTACCTGAGCAAAGCGGAACCAGTAAGGAATGATGGCAACAACAAGGTAGAGTTCTTTGTAAATTTCACTCTCATAGCATGTGTGTGTTCTTTTCTTGAAATCTCCTCCCCAACCATAATAACATACATAAAACAACAAGCTTCTGAATGTTTGCACCTGCGAAACCAAAACCTAATGATGTTCCGATGAAAACACAAACTTGATAGCTGAATTCTAAACCAAGCAACTCGTTACCTGAGTGGTCAACTGATCTGCGAGAAAGAAATCCGGGAGAATAACCTAGCAATAGAAAACAAACTCTTAAACTATATGTAACATCTTTAGAAGAAATTACTTGAGTTGCAAGTTACCTTGTATAGTAGGCTTAATTAGAAATAAAGATTACTTGGATGTCACGTTACCTTGTATAGTGGGCTTAAAAGACAACGAAAGGCGCACCCAATGAAGAAATATCTGCTTGACCGATATATTATATTGAGTGGACAAAACAGAGTAATCATGAAGCACTGCGATCATAAGCAAAAAACAAAAACATTTCACAACTAACAATGAGGATATATATTGTTATTTGTTAGAGATCAATATCAATGACCTAAAGAACTTACCATGAGAAGACCTAAAGGAACAAGCTCAGTGATGACACTAAACTCTTTTGTTCTCGGATCCATCTCCATGTCAAGATTCGAGATAACTCCTCCAAATGTTAGAACTGCTAGACCAGAGGCTAGAAGAAGAACTTCTCTATAACCAAGATCAGTCCCTTGGTCAAACCCGAAGATAAAGGGGTAGTTAACTCTATATCGACTCCAGAAATATATGTCTCCTGCATACATAAGCAAATGAACCGCAACGAAAGCGAACATGCTGCGGAAATAACAAGCATTAGATAATTGAGTTCCTCTGTGTTTAGAAGTGATGAATGTAACGTTATCAAGAACCTGTAAAGAGGGAAGATGTTCTCCATGTATTGATGCCTGCCTTCACTTTTTGTTATGCCTCTTATATGTACCAGAACCGTTATCGCAATGGCTAGAGCTACGGTGCAACCAGAAAAGAAACCTGTAGATTAAGATGATGTTTTAGTCTACTAGAAAGAACATTAGGTTTAGTCATTTCATAGGTTAGAGAAAAATGGATTTAAGTACCAAGGAAGTATGTGATTCTGTGTTTCTCCCTCTTAGCTTTAGTCCTTAAACATTTCATTCCTTCACGGTGGTTTCCATGGGCGAAGTGCTTAATAAACGTAGCTTCCACTCTTGACATGAGCCTTGAGACCTAAAATTTAAAGATAAGTCTTGTTTTTTTGAGTAACATTTAATAAGAGATTGGTTACTTGTATTAACCTCATCGCAGCTTCCTAAATAAGAATGATCCACTGTATGTAGATAAGGCTTAGATGCATTCCTAGAAGTAGTCTGTGAAACATTACAAATATTAAATATCAGTATTAAACCACACCAAGAACACACGCAAAACGAACATGATAAGATTGCAAACCTTGTCATACTTCTTTAGTATCTTTGAAAACGCCAACTGATTCAAGAAGCTGAAAACATAGCTAGATAGATTAGGAGAAACAGTTTTGTAGAGAAACAAGAGATCTAAAGAATTACAATTCTTACCAATAACTCTTTAGGAACCTAAGTTTCTGGTAGAACTCAACAAAAGCGCGGTCCATAAGCTCCTCGGCTCTTTTAAGCTCCGGTTTGCTGAAGGTTTGCTCAGTTGAAAGACCCATGATCATGCACTTAAGCATTGACAATGGAGTCTCTGGTTCGATCTTGAGCTTTATATGATCCAGCATTTCTACTGGAGCAGGTTTAAAGACTTTCTTATCTTCTACTTGTTCCATTTCTTTAATCACTTCCATTGGGGAAATGGCTATAAATATAAAACATTCACATAGATTACACATGAGCTTAACATTAGGATAATCACTTAATGCAGATTAAACATCACTCAGATGGCTAAAGTTTAATTCTGGAATATCTACAAAACACTTCAAAATAATTTGAGCTGGATGTGTTTGAAATATAACTAAAGATTAAACGTTAAAAATATTTCGTAATCCCCCTAAGCTCAAATAAATTGTGCCATTATTTTCACACATTTTTTTAATACAACTTAAATTGTTGCATAAAATCGTGATGCCCTAAGCGACCGGTTCATTTGCCTATGTTACGGACCGGGCCGTCTGGTATATCTACAAAAAATCTATTGGTTTCTCGGGAGTTAAAATTAAATATATGGAGCTAAACCTGGAGTCCTGTTGTGTGGAGAAGAAGGAGCACTCGAGATACTACTAATGTCAGGGAAGTCAACATTTGGATTCTCAACCTTAACTCTAAGAGCAATCAAAACATTTAATTGTCTACTAAGCTCATCAGCCTCCTCCATCACGCTCTCCACTTTCTGCTTATAAAATCTCAAAACCTTGTTGAACTCTCCATCAAGCCGCCGGAAAAACTGAACCTCCATCTCTCCTCCTTCCTCCGCGGAGCATAGAAACGTCGTGTTGTAGCTACCCGTCTCGTCCTCGTTGATGAGAATGACTTGATCCTCGTCATCGTCAAAGAGATGGTAATGACGTTTGCTGCTTAGAGGATTGTTGTGTTTGTGTGATTTCTTGGGGGAGCCTTTGGCTCGGTTTGTTAGACCGCTGAATGCACGGTAAAGAGAGACTCTTCTTGATAGACCGGCTGAGCCGGTCCCGCCGGTGCTAGCTGCATGGAGAGGTGCGGTCTCTCCGGTGGGAGGAGGAGGAGGATGATATGGACGTTGTTGGTTTTGTAGGTGGTAACGAAGGAGTTGTTTGACGATGGATTTGAGAGAACCATAATCCATATAGGCTTCTCTCCATTCTTGGATCATTTGCGCTTCATATTCTCTTCCGAACTTCATTTTTTTTCTTCTTTTCTTGATTTTGGTATATTTTTCCCCGGAAAAAATTGGAGTTTTTCCGGGAAGAAATCTACCAAAAAATCTTTCCGGGAAAAAAATCTACCAAAAAAAAAGAAAAAAAAAGTGTTTTTAATTGTTAAACTTTTTCCCCCATTATGGTAAAATCTCTAGTCGTTTCAAAATTCCCAAACACTCGTGGCTGAGAATTGGAGAGGTCTTTTTCTATTTTTGGTATTAAAGTCTGTTTAGTGTGTTTGTAACCACACGTGCATGTGCATGCTTTAGTCCCAAACCATACTTATAACTCATTTTCCTTTCTTTTTTTTTTTAACTCATTTTCCTTGTTTACATCTCTTAACTAAAACAATACTTTCATTTTAGTTTTTTTTTTTAATTGTTGTTGTGTAATTTAGACATGGATTTGCGATCATCAACATGTAAGTTTGATCATATAACAACGTTAGTATTGATCATAACGATGGTAATGGTGATGAGAAGAGGAGAATCGATGAGATTGGATCTGGAATCAGGCACGACCAAATGCGTATCCGACGACATCAAAATAAATTATATGACTGTTGGAACTTACTCCGTCGTCAATTCCAACGAAGCTCACCATCTTCCTGCTTCCCACAAAATCCATGTCACTGTAAGCTTTAATTATAAATTGATGATATATAAGTATAACTGAGATAATATATGATTCATTTGACCTAGAGAATCACATTTTACGTGTGAATCTCGGTTCTGACTCCTTGATGAATCTTAACCTAAAAAAAATGAAAAGTCATTGTTTACGTTAGGTAGCGTCACCTAAAGGGCACACTCAGCACCATGCACAAAATGTGGAGTCTGGGAAATTTTTGTTCACGGCGGTGGAAACTGGTGATTACACAACGTGTTTTATTGCTCCTGCTTTTAGACCTCCTGCCAAATTCGCCGTTGATTTCGAATGGAAAAGTGGTGTGGAGGCTAAAGATTGGACCAACATCGCCAGGAGAGGCCAGATCAACGTACACACTATATATATACCTAATTAAATCTAGTATTTTTGTCAGACTATATATAAGCTAGCCATATAGTTAATTCTGTGAGATATCTGCGTAAAAGTGATATACGTTTATGCTTAGATGCTGGAGGTGGAGGTGAGTAAACTATTGGACGTGACCGATTCTATACACGACGAAATGTTTCTACTCCGGGAGAGGTACAACTAAAGCAATCAAGTTTTTAACCTAAAATGTTATTTCTTCTCATCTTTTTATTACAGGAAACTATTTACCAGAGCATGATTAGGGGGGGGGGAGGTTAAGGGTGGGGTTCTTAGCAGAATTAAAAAACCATCTCTTAAAAAGTAAAAAAACTAAGAATCGACTCTTAATTATCTCTTAGTTGGTCTCATAATCATGATTTCATTTGGTTGATTCGTGTGTACATTCGTCAACAAAAGAGTGTTTTGGAAAATGTAAAAGCAAAAGAAAGTAGTACATATGAATCTTAAACGTCAAACAGTTTTCTGATCATTTTATATGAATTTTATTGGAACTGCTGTTATCATTTGATCATTTGACTATTCCACTATTCATTTAACATACTACTGAAGCCCTTTGTCAATTCAAAGTGTTAGCTTGCAGTTCATTTGAATTATATATATGTAATGAGACTGTTGAGCAATTCTATTCACACAAATGGTTTAGGAGAAAAAGGAGAGTATGATGAGTTTACATACACTTTATGAGCAATATGAACTGTGACAGGGAACGGGAAATGCAGGAGCTAAACCGGTCAACAAACTGGAAGATGGCGGGTTTAAGTATATTCTCGTTACTGGTTACGTTGTCGGTAGCTGGTATACAACTGTGGCATCTCAAGTCATTCTTGGAGAGAAAGAAGCTTCTCTAATCAAACAAGTTGTCACTTTTTTACCTTTTATCAGATTTTGGTGTTCTCTGTTCTATCTCTTTTTTTTTTTTTTTACTAATAAATCACTTTCTTTATCTTGGACTTTGAGGATTTTAACATTACATTTTCTGGTTAGCCCAAAGTCAGATCATACATCTCCTTAGAAGTATTGTGTCTCTTATTGAATATGCTTCTTCTTATTGTGGTCGCAAAATAGAGATAGGCTCTGACATTATCATAGAATCACTTTTATTTTATCAACTCTTCTTGTGGTTTGCTTGTATCATATAACTATGTCTTGGACCAGAACCAAAAGAAGTTAGTTTTCTAATAAATTCTTAGAACACTAGTGAGAACCTTAGAAATTTAAAATACATATTTAAATCCGGAATGTTAGGTGGGCTAAGATCTTTCGAGTCAGCCCTTTTAAACTTCGGAAACTCTGTTGGTGTTGGTAAAATTGCAATTTTTGCAAATCAGGGATTGAAACTGGCTGGCTGGTCCCGTTGATAACTTAACCTGATCAAGTCAGAAGGGCCGGGTCTTGGTGCTGATCCATTAACGGGTGTGGAAGTAATAGCGAATTAGTTAAACCAAAACACATCACTAAAAAACTTATAATGCATGGTTTCATTACTCGCTAAAGTATTATAGAAGTTAGCACAAATGGGAAGCATACCAACAATACAAGTATACAACGCAACAGTTGACATGAACTTAGAGAAAAGTGTGATAGAAGCTTGAGAAATGCAATCCCTGAGAAAGAAGGGTTTTAATCATGGCCCTTGTGGTGCTTCTCCTTCTTCTTGTTCTTCTTCTTCTCATCATCACTATCATCATAATCTTTTTTCTTCTTCTTCTTCTCATCATCACTATCATCATGATCCTTTTTCTTCTTCTTCTTCTCATCATAATCATCATGCTGGTCCTTCTTCTTCTTCTCATCATCACTATCAACATGATCCTTCTTCTTCTTCTTCTCATCATAATCATCATGATGGTCCTTCTTCTTCTTCTTTTCATCATCATCATGATGGTCTTTCTTTTTCTTCTTCTTCTCATCATCGCCATGATGATCCTTATCCTTCTTCTTTTTCTCATCATCATGATGGTCCTTCTCTTTCTTCTTCTTTTTCTCATCATAGCCATCATCATGATGGTCATTGTGGTGCTTATATTGCTCCTTATCCTTCTTCTTTTTCTTCTTCTCATCATCGTCAGAGCCTTTACCATCCTTTTTCCTATCCTTCTTCTTTTCCTTCTTCATGTTCTTCTCATCACCAGTGTCCTCCCCACTCTGCAACATTTAAAGAACAATTAAAGCCAGAGGATATATATTAATATTCATCCAAAACTTTACTTGCTATTTCAATTATACAAACAAAGTGAGAAAATCACTCAGTAAAATAAGAAAAACTCAACAAATGAAACAAGAAATAATCACCAAAAAAGATTTTATATTCCATTTTTTTTTGTAACAATTATATATTCCATTTATATTCCAATTTTCAAACCTCGACAAAAATCTAGATGCAAAAAAAGATTAATTACTTTATTAAATTAACTTACATATTTTGTGTGGCCGTGCTCAGACACAGGTGTACGGCCATACTCAACCTCCGTTCTACCGCCATAACCAGAAGCAGGTTTCCGGCCAAAGTCAGGTCCAGATCCACCGTACTGACCTTCAACGTGAGCGCCTCCGGGGCGGGGTTTGGGTCGGGCATAGCTACTGTACTCGGTGTTAACAGCCTGGTCGCCATAAGCAGAAGGCTCATGGCTTGAAGAAAACACGGGTCTCTGATATTCGAACGCGTCACCGGAGGGAGAGGAGAGAGGGTAACAAGTCTCGTCTGACGGCGGGACTGAGCGACCGTACGTCATGGTGATGTCATAGCCACCGCTATACGGCGTGGGATCGTAATCATTGAAGTCGTCGACTTCATCGTCGTCTTTGGTATAGTACGGCATGAGGAGTCTCCTTCTCCTTCTCTTCTCCTCCTCTCTGACTATTAATTACAATGTTGCTCAGTTTGTGTTTCACCTTGTTTACTTGGCTACCATTACTCAAGAAAGTCAATGGTCCCACGTGGCTTCTTATCTTTGTTGTCTAAGAGCATCTCCAACCCCACTCCATAATTTACTGCAAAATGGAGTGGGAAATGGAGTGATGAAGAAACAAAAAAGTGATTACTCCAAATATAGAGTAATGAGATTTTTGTTTCTTCATTACTCTATTCTCCACTCCATTTTGCAGTAAAATATGGAGTGGGGTTGGAGATGCTCTAAGTCAATGTTTAATGAATCTTATTATTACAACAGCTTTGACTATTTCATGCAACTATAGAATATTATTAGTAGGGGTGGGCACGGATTGATATCAGGGTTTTTAAAGGTATTTGTGATTTGCTTCGAATGTTACGGATATCTAATTTTGGTATTTGCTTTGCTTCGAAAAAATACGGATATCCGGAAAAACGGATATCCGGAAAATAAATAGATATTTACGGATATTTACGAATATTTACGGATATCTCATCCATTTTGATTAATACAAATAATCTTAAGATTTTGATACAAATTTTCTTTACAAAAATATTGTTTTGCATGATATATAAAATAAAATTTAAAAGAACTAGTGAATTTACATATTTTGTAATTTTTTAAGTTTAAGTAACAATTATATAACATAAAATTTAAGAAAAAATATAATTGCCATAACTTTTTTTTCTCTTTTATGTAATACTTTTATATTAGTAATAATGTGAATAGAAAGAATAATAGTTATACATTTAAATTTTTAAATATAATCAAGATATAAATATATTTATATATTTCCAGATCGGATCGGATAACGGATCAAATCAAATATAACGGATAAAATACCCAGCCCTAATTATTGGTACGAAAATATTAAAAACTGAAAAGCATCGATTTGTCGTCTGAAGAAGAAATTTAAATTGTGGAATCTTTTTTTAATCAATCTACATATATGATACTAAACCTATTTTAATGATCCGTGATGTCATTCTTTTTATAGGAATTTTTTTTTTAAATCCAACAGTCAGATTTGTTTGTTATTTTTGATCTAAGGATTAAAAAGCTCTCTTCATCTGAATAGCCGTCATCAAAAGCTGTCATCATCTTCCCCGAATCGTCTCCTCATCTCAAACGACATAACTCTTAATTTTTTATGACAACACGAAACAACCGTTAATGGAGTTGTGACCCTTAGGTCGCATCTCTTCCTCTGTTTATATCCCTCCTTCTCTCACTTTGTTTTTTAATTCCTGATCTCTGATTTGATTTTTTGATTAACCCCAATTTTATCTTCCGATCATCCACCATTCGTATTCAATGCAGTTGCCATTAACATCCACGATTTGGTTTTATTGCGTTACAGTTTTTCAACAGTTGTGTTTTCTTTTTAAATTATCATTTGTCTTGATATTTATATCTTGATGGACCTAATAACATGAATAGAAACTCTATATAATTTGTAAAACATTCAATCCTTTAATGTCATACATTTTCGTCGGAAATATGCTATTTTCTAAAAACAAATATGAATATCAATTAATTCGATTCAAAAATGGGCAATGGTTACCAAGAAAAACATTAGGAGCTAGGTTACAAATATTTAAACTAATATCTGATCAATCTTATATTATAAAGATAAAAATATAAGTTGTGATAAAACAAATCTTCATATCTAAGAAGCTTTTTTCCCCAGTAATAATAAAGTCAAGATTAATTTTATTTATATTTGTAAATATTTTGGCTTACAAACTGCTATCTATTCTAAATGTTTTTGGGGTAGATTACTGAAACACTTTTCCAATTGTTTTTATTATTCTTTTGAGTATATAACATTGTCAATATTTTATTTTTGTTTTTCAAAAATTCTTCAATTGATTAGTATTACAAAATAAAATATTAAATAAATTTAAATAACTCAAACTAATTTTGCATATGTGTACAGTATATTTCACAAACTTGTGTGTAAATAAAAAATTGTAGTTAATTCATGTAGGAGAAAAATGTAAAACAAATACTACTTTTTATAAAGAATAAATAAGCAAAATTATAAAAAAAAAATATTTATTAAATAAAATAAAATAAAACTTTAGTAAAGAGTTAAATATATTTACATAAAATTTAGAGTCATGTTTAGCATCTTTTGATGAAGAATCTCCTTCTCAAACAATACAATCCGTAAATTGTGCCTCATCTACTCTATTAAAATAGAGTCACTTTTTTATCAACTATAAATAAGTCTAGGTATAACCATTTCATTAATTACTTAATATGACATATTTTATTATTTATATTAATCAATAAAATATATACCAAGCATATCTGATTTAAATTTTATTTTAAGTTATAACAAAATCAGTTGAGAAAAAATCTAACAAAATCTAACTAAAAATTCAAATATGTTTTTATAAAATAACAGAATATTAATTTCGTAATTAATAATACAATGCTATTATATTAATTAAAATTTTATTATAAAACAGAAATAAAAATTCTATCAAAATGGTAAAAATATATCCGCGCTTTTAAAGTAGAATTACTCTATGAATTAAATAAAAATAGAAAAATTGGTAAATTAACCTTTTATTTTTATTTTTTTCATTTAAATACTATAAAATACTTAATATGACATATTTGATTATTAACATTAATCAGTAAAATATATACCAACTATGCTGAAAAAAATAAATTTAAATTTTATTTTTAGTTATACAAAAATCAGTTGAGAAAAAATATAACAAAATCTTACTAAAAGTTCAAATATTTGTTTTATAAAATAACACAAAAATAAATTTCGTAATAAATAATATAATACTTTTATACACTAATAATAATTAAAAATTTACGGATTAACATACATAAACTATGTATATTTTTATACAAAAAAATGTTAGCAAAGGTTAAGTTTTTATATCTACAACTATATCTTATTTTTTACTTAATTTAAAACCCACAACTATATATTATCTAAAAATGAGTATATACATAATATATTAGTACATGACTAACTTTTAGTTCATGTATTATTTAAAAATTAGCATGTCAGGAAATTTTAATAATTCATAAAACAATAATGAAATATCTTATTAACTACAAATTTATTTTTTAATTATTAAATAATATGTTGAGAAAATAAATAAAATATAACCAAAATTGTATAAAATAATTCATTAATTTAGTAACAAAAATTTCAAAGTCATATAATCTTTCCAAATCATATATAATTAGTACTTTTCGAAATATTTCTTGACCAAATATACAATTTTGAGAATAAGTAATTTAAACTTAAATTGAAAAAAAAATCAAATTATAAAAGATAAAATTATAGATGATAAAGTGTATTTCTTTTTACATGGAACACAAATCAGAGTACTTAATACCGTAATATCCCAAATATTATTATATTGATAAAAATTACTAAAATAATATGAGGTTGATTGAAATGAGTTATAGCTTTATAATTTTTGGTGTAGAATTATAGCTGTAGATTTTTTTTTGTTGTGGCTGTAGATAATTTAGCTGTAAGGTTTTGGTTGTAGATTTAAAACGATTTAATCATTTACATATAAATTTATAAAGCAAAAACATAAATGCTCTAGATTTAGTGCTTTCCACAGCCAAAACAAAATAAAAAGGAAAGAAAAATCTGTGGCTTTAGAAAAAATTATAAAGCATGATTCGAATTTTTTTTTTGCTTTAGAAATATTTTGGACTGTGGAAAGCTTCTACATCACTTCTAAATCACTTACCAATCATCCCCAATATCATAGATGTTACTATATATAAAATTTATAAAATTAATATGGCATTATTAGTTAAGCAAAATAATACATATATTTATAAATTTTGAAATATACTAAAATGATATATGTTAAAGTTAGATTTTAAACACATAATGGAAATATCAATTAGCCTAAATAAATATTCTTTTATAATAGGTAAATAAAATCTAAAAAATGTTTTGAATGAAACTTATAAAATTTTATTGAAAACATATTCTAAAGGAGATTATCTATTTGATTATTTCAAATTATGAATTTATTTTACTTACTCGAAAATATATTAGCACGTATAACAAACAAAAAAGATTATATATTAATAATGTTGGATAAAAATTAAAAAATATTATATATTAATAATTTTGAATAAAACTTAAACAATAAAATTACAAAGTTACACAATATACCAAAAATTTAAATATATATATTTATAATGTTGACGTTAATATTAAATATACATTTTAAAAATAAAATACCCGCACGAATGTGCGGGTCAAATCTCTAGTTTGACAATTAATGTATACTATTAAAACAAAATCCCTACTAGGATTTTGCCTTTACTTTATAAGTTATTTACATTACTATGTCATTGACATTTAATTTTAATAACTATATTATTTATTTAAAGTTAACACATTTTTCCTATATTTTTGGTAACTAATACTATCCATAATTTGTAAATAATATCAATTCTAAATTTATGTAAACAATACATTTCATTTAATTTGAATATTATTTTTCTTTTTTATTAGTATTTAACAATCAAATTTGAATATATATATATATATACATGAAAATTAAATATATTATTTACTATGTCATTTTTACTTTTTGAACCTTCAAAAATATTTCAAAACTTACTTTAAATTAAATTTTACATCTAAAATAAACAGAAACAACTTGCATAAGTTATTAAAAGTGAAAAAGGAATTATATTGTCATATCAATAAATTTTACTTTTTCTATTACCATAATTTCATTTTTTCAAATGACTTAATAAAAAATCATCAAAATTTAAGATATTACATTTTTAGTCTTATATAATATTAAAATGTATGAGTTATTTAATCAAAAAAGTCAGAAATATTTCTTTTTGTTTTCAGCGAATCATCTGATATCAGATCACGGGTTAATAGCGGGTTTTGGATTTTACAAAGTTTTATCTAATTTTAACTAACAAATTTTTATTAAATCTGAAACGGATTAAACACAGGTCGCCGGATTTATCGGTTCAACCACAGTCTGAGTCGGATATGAAAACATTTTCTGGAAATTAAATATAATAGAACAAAACTTTTGAAACATTAA